GCGGCCTTCGAAACATCAAACAGTGTATTTCAGGAAGCCTCGCAGGTGGCTGGAACATATTTTATGTTCAGAGAGTTGGTAACAAACAACTAAAACCATCTTAGAACACGTCGCCCCCAGCATCTCAGCTGGGAGCTTGTTGGCATCAGAAGGCAGAGAGTAAATGCTGTGTGTGTGTGTGTGTGTGTGTGTGTGTGAGACTTAGTTTAGAGGTCAGCTGACATGACCTTCTTGTTTTATATTTATTTATTTCCTTATTCATTTCCTTATATACTCAGTTGCCAGTCCTGGGGCTTGAACTCTGGGCCTGGGTACTGTCCTTGAGCCCCTTTGTGCTGAAGGTTAACGCTCTGCCACTTGAGACACAGCACTGCTTCTGGCTTTTTCTGAGTAGTTTTTTGGAGATAAGGGTCTCATGGACTTTCTTGCCCCAAGCTGGCTTTGAACCAGGATCCTCAGATCTCAGCCTCCTGAGTAGCTAGGATAATAGGCATTGAACCACCGGTGCCTGGCTTTTATTTATTATTTTTAAACAAATGAAAGTACCATATTAAACTTGCTTGTCTGTGAATAGCAAGCGTGGGTTCTGGGTTAGATTTGATAGAATGGTTATTAACCTCCTTCATTGGACAAACGTTTTCAAGTACCTTCTTTGTTTGAGGCAGCATTCGGTTCAGGAGATCCAAACAATAAGTAAAACTCAGTGCTTATCTATCTTAAATCTGCTTATGGGTCTCCTTATAGGTGGTGGTGGTGGAGGGAGTGAGGGAAAGACATAAACAAAGAAACACCAGTGTTTACCACATAATATAATACAGAAATACAACGCCAGGGGACCTTGGAGAATAATTCTAAATGTTTAAGAATCAAGAACTATCAAATTGCCTAAGAGAGGTTACCTCATTTCTAAATGCTGCTCCGAATCCGGAAGAGGCACAATTGTAGACATGAAACTAACAATACATGTGTTCTTATATACAAAGTGTTATCATGTATTTCTCAGGGGGCTCAAGCCATTTTCACAGATACACAGGAAGCTGTTGAGTCACATGACTGCAAACGGCTTTGGACATGGTCCTTCTTTGGGAGGTTGGCGCCTTGGACGGCCAGTGGCTGACCTAGGTCCCACTGCGACGTGTCGGCAGGGTTGAACCACAGGTCTGGTCCTCTAATCTAGGGGTGCAGTCTTTCCCCTATTCTCCCCCTCCCATCTTTGCCACCTCGGCATTTCTGACCCTGAACCGAGGGGAGCATTTGTTCACACACTTCCCTGTGCTCTTGCGTCTCTTTGGGCATAGAGTTGGCTCCGTGGCGAGATTTTATGACCTACTTTAGAGGGTGGCCAGAGAATTCTCTCCTGGCTTGTTTTAGGGGAGGCAGAACAAAGTGCAAATCGGTGAGAACTTGCCTGTTGCTGCTGTTGTTTAATGATTGAGGTGCCGTATTTTGGGGCGGTGTGTCTTAAATGCTCTTAGTGGGGCTGGGAAGGTGGCTCAGTGGTAGAGTGCTTGCCTCGCATGCATGAGGCCCTGGGTTCGATTCCTCAGCACCACATAAGCAAAAAAAAAAAAGCCAGAAGTAGCGCTGTGGCTCAAGTGGTAGAGTTCTCGCCTTGAGCTGAAGAGCTGAAGGACAGCGCCCAGGCCCAGAGTTCAGGCCCCATGACCAATAACAACAACAAAATGCTCTTAGTGACTCCTACCTTGTCTGGGCTATATGCATATCTCTTTAGCACCCGTCTGATTTTGTTCACTCGCTCACCCTCTTCCTTTGCTCACCCTCTTCCTTGCTCATGTCAATCGCATTGCAGTGAGGTTCTCAAAGATCATTTTCTCCCACTCCAATCCCCGCATGCCTCCACGCCTACCCGTTCCTGCCACACGGCTTCAGGGTTGCTGAGGGTATCCAGTTCCAAGCAGAGGGAATGGAAGAATTTTCTTCTTCAACCCTGACTCGCATCACGGCTGATTGCTTCTGATGGCACGGAAGCGGTTGGCTCCCTTGGAGAGGTCACCCTGGTGGCTTTGCTCTTCAGAGCAGTGTCAGACGCCGGCTGACTTTGTTCAGGGGACCATCTGACTAGACCAGGCGAGTGGGATTAGTTTTGACAAAGATCTGCTTTCAGAGCAAATCCCAGACTCTTTGCTCAGAGTGGTATTTCCCTTGTGTGCTTTTTTGGAATTGCAAATCTATTGTTTCTGGCTCATGACATTTTTGCAGGCTCCCCCCACCCCGGAGTCGATACGGCCCCCACAGACCTCAGGCAGCTGGCGTTCTGTCTCCATTTTCATATCCCTGTGCAAACACTCCTGGCCTGTCGTTTATATTCCTTTGGTAGTCTCTCAGTGCACATAATAAAAACAGATTTAGAATATGGATCTGACCTGGTTCAGGCCAGCAAGGTCTAATATGAATTTATTTACTGGAGATGGTGGAAATTATGAGAGGATAAAATGAGACTTGTTCTCAGTAAATAGTTCTTGCCGGCTCCAACAGCAGGTCCTCAAAGTACAGTCTCCTGAATTCTCTGTGGCATTGGTAGAAAAATGCAGATTCCCAGGCCTCAGTCACACTGAAGGCTCAGTGCCTTGGGGGGAAGAAGGGACTAATATCTGCATTACAAAATTTTCCTTTTGTGTGTGTGTAGTACTGGGACTTGAACTCAGGGCCTTGAGTTCTCACTTAGTGTTTTTGTTTTGTTTTATTTTTTTGTTTTGCTCAAGGCTGCTGCTCTAGCCACAGCTGCACTTACAGCCCTTTGCCTTGTTACTTGGAGATAAGAGTCTCCAGACTTTCACACCTGTGCTGACTTGGGGCTGAGATCCTCAGATCTCAGTCTCCTGAGTAGCTAGGATGACAGGCGTGAGCCACCGGTGCGTACCTATCCGGGATTTGCATGTACAATGAAGACTCTCTCTCCACATACCCTGAGTGGTTTCTGGCCCACTCTGGCATCCTTCCAGAAGGAAATGCATTTTACTCTTGAGATCAGATGACTCCCAGAGCTGGATTCTATCCAAGCTTGAAGTCAGGGAGAGCCGGGGTGCAGGTGTGGGGCAGAAGCCAGGGAACGGGCTGCGGAGAGGAATCCTGCAGCCATGAGGACGGTTCAACTCCTGGTCCACCATGTGCACTGGGTGGGGGGGGGTGTTTTGGGTGTGACAATGGACTTCTAGGACTGATGGGTTATGAGCTTGTTGGCGGGGGCAGAGGGGGTGAATGGCAGTCATGATTTGCTTTCCCTCTTGGTCACCGTTCTGGTACCTGGGCGTGGTTTGAGTGGAATAGCAGGTGAATGAGGGACCTGGCCTCTACCCCTGAGGGGCTTTGGGGCCAGAGGGGGAGCTGTGTGAAAACGCAGATTTCTAAGCTCCCAACAGCCCTTCTGGGCATCTGTATTTTTAGAGCCCTTGGGCAATCTAATATTACAGTTCCCTCTGAAGAGCATTTGGGAAGTGTGGGTCGAGAATTTGGGAAGTGGACCTTGTAGTGAATCCTAACTATGGTCAGTTTGATCGTGTCAGTCGTACACCCAGAACCACATTAAGTGAGAGCTCCAAATGCTGTGAGATTCGCAATGTGAAGAGGGTAGTTGAGTGTTGGACTCAAGGGTTAGGACTGTACCGGGTGCCGGTGGCTCACGCCTGTCATCCTAATTACTCAGAAGGCTGAGATGTGAGGATCGCGGTTCAAAGCCAGCCCAGGCAGGAAAGTCCATGAGACTTTTTATCTCCAATAAACTACTTAGCAAAAGCTGGAAGTGGTGCTGTGTCTCAAGTAGTAGAGTGCTAACCTTGAGCACAGAGAGGCTCAGGGAGAGCACCCAGGTCCTGAGTTCAAGCCCTAGGACTAGGCAAGACAAACAAACAAGAGTTGGGACCCAAAGATGAGAGCAGGGATATAGGATAAGGCTTTGACTCTAGACAGTCTTGGGCCCTGCTTTCCAGAATTGGACCCACAGGGGACAAAAAAAAAAGAAAATCAACAGTCACATCAAGGTTTAAATGATGTTTTCAGGCAGGTTGGCCCGTGTGTAACCGCACTGAGTTAAGTACTATTGTTATCTCCACCTAACAGACGAGAAAATTGGAGCATAGAAAGACAGGTGCACGTCCCCCCACGGATGATGCTGCAGAATCCTGTTTCAAATCTGAGTGATTGTGCTCTGTTCCTGCTCACATAGGCCCAAACCAGGTCAGATGGCTCTTGAACTGCAAAGCTGAGTCACAAAAGCAACCTGGGCCCCAGGGAAACAGCCATCCTGGATATGGCTGTGCTCTGGGTTTCAAGATCCAAAGCATGCTGAAGTTCGAAAGGCTGGCATTTACATAAGAGAAGTAATAAACCTTCCTGCTTGGTAAAGGTTTGATCCATTCTAAAAGGAAATCCATGAACACAAAGGTTGTCTTTGTGTACTGAAAATTCTTTGTCTGCTTCACATTTCATCTGGGCATCTACCTTGTCTTCTTTTGTGGGTTAAACAGAGCTTAAAGTTTAAACAGACCCAGGTTCAAGGCTCTCAATGGATATGAATTCTAAAATCTAATCAAGATGATCTCTACCCTGTACACAATGCATGGGCCTAACTAAATATACCGGTATAATTCTGAGAATATCTTGTCAGAATTTCAACCTTTTGAAACTCTCTCTCTCTCTCTCTGTTTCTCCTTTCAGGGCATAACCTTCAGTAGCAGAACAGATCTGTCCAGCAAGCAAGCTGCCAAGTGCTGCTTGTACCTTGTCAAAGAAAGCAGCTGGACCCATTTTTAATCTGCACTTCTCCCCAAACAACACTTCTGGGTCATTGAAGGAGACCCAGGCCAGAGTCCAAAACTTTCCAAAGACCTTCTAAGAGACAGCCAGTGCACAAGGACGCCATCTTGGCACAAACCCGGTGGATCTGAGAAACAAAGGGAGAAGACAGGTGTGGCTTTCTCCACCCGAGAAGTCACATGACCCACTCCTCACATCAACCCTAGAATGGATGATGGTTACCGGAACAACCCAAACCTCTACCACGGGGCCAGAGATATAGCTCGAGAGGCAGCCCGGCAGCCGTGGAACCAAGGCATGGATGACTACAAGTACCAGGATAACTATGAGGGCTATGCCCCCAGCGATGGCTATTACCGAGGGGGCAACGAGTCCAACCAGGACGAAGATGCGCAGAGCGATGCCACCGAAGGCCATGACGAGGAGGATGAGATCTATGAGGGCGAGTACCAGGGCATCCCCCACCCGGATGACTTCAAGGGCAAGCAGGCCAAGATGGCGCCCTCCAGAGCAGATGGCTTTCAGACAGACCTGATGGCTGAGCGGATGGAAGACGAGGAGCAGCTGGCCCACCAGTACGAGACCATCATCGAGGAGTGCGGTCACGGGCGTTTCCAGTGGACCCTCTTTTTTGTCTTGGGCTTAGCCCTGATGGCCGATGGGGTGGAGGTGTTTGTGGTGAGTTTTGCCCTGCCCAGTGCCGAGAAGGACATGTGCCTGTCTAGTTCCAAGAAAGGAATGCTTGGTAAGTGGAAATTTCCCAAGATCATTCTCCTTGGGGAATTAAAAATATGAAATAAGAACAATAATATTTATATATACATACCACATATATACAATGATATATAATATTTCTTATATTTTATATGTACTATATTAATATATACAATTCTATGTTATAATGATATATAGTGTATATACATAAAGTATATACAAAGCATATATAATGATAAAGAATGTTTTTATATATATAAAGTGTATATATAGAGTATATATATACTTTATACTTTATGTATAAAAATATATAATGATATATATGCAAAGTATATATGAAGCATATATAATGATATATAAAGTATATATACTTTTATATACTTTATGTATATGTATATATACTGGCGCAGGATGTATACATACTTTATGTATACATAAAGTATATAAAAGTATATATAGTTATACTTTATATATAAAATATATAATGATATGTAAAGTATATTATTTCTAGGTACTTTACACCAAAGTGTTCATGTGAAAATGATCATTTTATACTCGTTTTGCCATGAAGAGTCCTTGTGTCAGAGCCATCAGTGAATTGGCTCTCATGCATGGATGGGAGCTTGGTTCCCTGCCGAAGTCTGTCTGACTCTTGAGCTCTTAGTTTGTCCCCTAAGTCTCGTGGCTTTCTAGTGAGGCCGACTTCTCTCCATGCATCCAACTGCCTTCCCTGTCTGAATGCCCAGTGCGTTTGGAGAGCAGCAGATCAGAGGTCTCTGCCATTCAGTCTGAGTTTCTGCGTCCTTCTGGAAAACAGTGGCAGCTGCTCCTGCGGCTCGGTGCTGGTGGCGGAGGGCCCGTGTGCCTTAAGGATGAGTACCGGGCTTGAGTCTACCAGCGGGGCCCCTGCGGGTGTTGGAGCCCTGGCTGTGCAGCACAGATGGGCGATGGGCTCCCCAGGAATGAGACCAGCTTTGCCAGTCAATTAGGAGATCATCGGGTGAGCCGAGCTTAGGACAATCGGGGCTTGGGCGAGAGAGGATTCTGTGACATCACAGAGAAGGATGGGTACGCGTGGCATGGTGGAGAAGAGATTCAGCATCACGTAGCCACACGTGCTCTGAAACAGACTCAGTGAGGCTTTGGTGTAGTTAGGTTTTCATTCAAGACCAAGGACACTTACGGTCCCCAGAGCTCCAAATCTACACAACAACTCAGCTTGCTTATCCAGCAAATTATATTTCTGGTCTGCACTGTGCTAGTCTCTGCCCGTGCACACACATCACAGGACAAGAAGGCCTTGAGTACAGTGAATTATGTAATTCCTGTGGGGAAAAGTGCTAGGAAATGCCTCGCGTGAGTCTGGTTCTCAAGACTGGCTGGAGAGCAGGAGTTGTCAAACATTTCCGTAAAGTCCTGAGTAGTAAATACTTCAGGTTTTGCAGGCCCAGATGGCCTCTGTCACAACTACTCCAGTCTGTGGCTGTAGCATAAAAGCATTCTTAGACACTATGTAAACAAGCGGATGTGCTTGTGTTCCAATAAAACTTTATTTACAAAAGCAGGCAGTGGGCCAGATACAGCTAGCCCCGAAGTAGAGCTACTCTAATGTAAGACCGGAATATAAAAATCAAGAAAGCATTTGCATAAAGGATTGTCACTGGGAGTTTTCAAGTTGTTTTATGCATTCATGCTTAACTACAGTGCCATTTAAAATGATTAGAACTGCGCCAGACATGACTATTAGAAAACAAGATTGATGGAGTATACAAACAGAAGCAATAATTTGAGAAACAAGAATATCACTCTGTTGTTGTTTTTTTTAACCAGTGGAATTTTAATATGTGTGTGTGTGTGCAGTCTATTAAATATATTTGAGGTTGACTGATAAACAGATTTTTTTTAATATAAAAAAGACAAGCAAAAATCCAAATAGCACACCAAATCACCCCCTGGCTGGTCTAATTTGCTTTGTGGTACAACTGAAATCTGGATCTCCATTAGCCAACGTTGGCAATGTCAGTAATGATTTCATGCTCTGCTGATCTCTCTGGCACCGTGGTGCCCGGCCTCCTCATTAAGAGAACCGCAGTAGGGCGCTAGCTCCTGCCAGCTCTCAGGTCACAGCCTGGGTGGGGGTGGGGGTGAGGAAATGGGGTCTTGAAGGGCTCATCTTTGGGCACTTTTGCCTGCCGTGTTTGCTAGGAAGATGCTTTGAATCAGCCCCCAAAGGGCAGACTCAACTGTTGTTTGAGAATGTGTGTGTGTGTGTGTGTGTGTGTGTGTGTGTGTGTGTGTGTGTGTGTGTAAGTGGATGTGGGGTCCTGATACCAGGACAGCCATGTGTCACCTTGGAGGGTTGACACTCGAGGTGATTCAGAGAGAGCCGTACTTAAGGCTGCCAGGCTAGGGTGCCTGGTCTGTCTGAGTCTGTCTCTGCCCATTCTGCTCTGCCAAACTAGAGTTCTTTACGCTTGGTCTCTCCCTGTCCCCAGTACCTCATAGATAGCTGCCCGAGCACAGATGGTTTGCAGCAGAGAGGAAACCTAGTTCAGTGATGAGTAATTGGTGGCGTTTCACCACGAGAGTTTGGCAACTGGCAGTGCCACTCAGCCAGTGTCAGTGGAGGTAATAACGCATTCGTCGCGAAGATGAACCCAGGTGATACAGGTAAAGCAACCAGTACCCAGTGCTTTCTACATTACTGTGGCAATGAGGTAACATGGAGGCTGGAGCTCAGAACCTCATGCTTGCTATACTGTCTACTACCACTCGAGCCATACCCTTAGCCCTGCTTTTTTGCCAGTTTACGTTGGAGATGGAGTCTAGTCAACTTTACTATCTGGATTGGCCTCCTGCGGTGATCCTCCAGTGCTCGGTCTCCTGAGTAGATAGGATTTCAGGTGTGACCCACTGGTGCCTGCCTCTCATGTAGTGAGTTCAGAAAAGTTACTCGTGGCTCTGTTACTTTGGTCTGCAAAGTAGGGGTGATGGTGATGTCCCCATCCTAGGGGGTATTTGTGAAGACTGACCAAGAAGAATGCCACTTGTCTTGGCTAAATTATTGCCCGTGTCATCTAACCATCGTGTCAGATCTCTTTGCCGTTACTAATTGTCAGTTGAAGATTGACTAACACTTGAAAGCGATACTGGTTTGATAATGGTGAGCCGGGGTCCCTCGGCTGATGCTGTACATTTCTTTCAGCCCACGTTAGGCATCATGGACTTTTTAAGGTCAAGCTGCTAGGTCTTTGCTCAGGGAAAGGCCCTCTGTGTTCCAGCAGTGATCCAGCTTTGTCTCTTCCCCCTTCCTTTCTCTTGGCTTGAAAAGCCACGCTCCGAGCCTCTAGGCTCCACACCTCATCAACGGGCCAGAAAAAGAACACAGTACGAGAAGTCCTCACCCCGCCATTCAGGCTTCTCCCCATTGGGTGTTCTATTTCCTTCCTGCACAAGAAAGTGAATCCCGTTCAGAGAATAAATGTCCCCTGGCCCATCCCAAAGATACTGGGGTGTCACTGCACCTCTTCTCTAAGCTCTGAGGAAGAGGAGCATGTGTGGCTCTCGAGCATCTTGTTTTCACGGGCAGTAGAAAGGAAGTGGGTCTGGGGAGCGTGCTGCCGGAGCCCAGGTTGTTTCCAGAGCTGAGAACCTGAACCTCATGGGTATTAGCAGGAGAGGGGGAGGGGAAGGGGCAGTTGGCCCTGGATCTGCCATCACCTTCGCCAGGCCCCTGGGGGATCAGGGAAGACTCTGGATGCGACCCCTCCCCACCCCTGCCCTAAGAGGGTGAGCCTCCCCTGCTCACACGTGCAGTTTTGTTTAGTAGGAGGCACGTACATATTCATCTCTGCTGGGCATGTGCCAAAACAAACAAACAAGCTAAGAAGTCCCATCTTTTCCCTGGCCTCTCTCCCTCACCTGTCCTCGGGTCACAGAAAGGGAATTCTTACCCTTGAGAGATGTGCTAACAGGTTACAAGGCGTGAGGCCCAAGGACAATCTTATAGAACCCTTTGTCGTGCAAAGAAAGGTGTAGAAAACATCAAGGAGACAAAGATGATGATGCATCTCTTAGTGTTGAGTGGACACGGGCGGGAGGGAAGGTAGGGGATTTCTCTGAACACATGTTAATACTTAAATTAGAAAAAAACCTCTGCTGGCAAGGAAGGAGGGTAACCATTCGAGGCTAACATCTACACGAGTTCTTGTAGGGTAGACTTGGCTTCATAGCTTGGTGGTATTTCATGTCAGCTCCCAGAAACCTGGATTTTCCATCTGTGGTACTGCAGGGTATCCATCTAATCTATAGCCGAATAAATCTGTAAAACTATAGATTACCTATCCTCAAAATCATAGGCTTCTTGTTTTGGGTGTGGGACCTGAAGCTTGAACTCAGGGCCCAGATGCTGTCCCTGAGCATCTTTTGCTCAAGGCTAGCACTCTACCACTTGAGCCATAGCACCACTTCCAGCCTTTTGGTGGTTAATAGCAAACGAAGAGTCTCACAGACTTTCCGGCCCATGCTGGCTTTGAACAGTAATCCTCAGAGCTCAGCCTCCTGAGTAGCTAACACGACCACCAGCATCTTACTCTATAAAATTCCGGGTTATCTTATCTACCTTTGTCTCAATCTCCAGTTCTCAGCTGTACTACATGAGCAGTCCTATTGGGGACCGCCCCCCCCGCCCGCATCTGATGTGATTTCATGGGGTATACAGATGGATGCCCTGATTTCTTCCATGATGTAATCGCAAAGTGAGACGTCTCTCGGGGATTCTGGTCATGCATTTGGCCTTTATCTCATGTGTCACTCTGTGGGTCTGTGGTTCCCTGACCATCATCCAGGACAATATCACCCTTCAAGGAATGATAGCTTAGGGGTCAGGGCATGGATCAAGAGGCCAAGTGCTTGCCTACTATGCCCAAGACCCTGGTTTAACTCCTAGTACCACAACAGAGGTACTTTGTTATGGAAGGAAGAATAGAGAAGACTTGTCAGGAACCATCGCTTGGGAGCTGTAGGTGGAAC